AGCAATGATTAATGAATGTGGCTTAGAAAATTTAATCTATTCAATGTATTATTATACATTATTTTGCTACCCAGGGTGGCGGAAACTTTTAAACTGAAATCCATACTAATAAATAAATGAAAAATAAATCTTTAAATTAATAAACTGATGTAATGTGATGATTGTAAGTAATCATGAAAAGAAGACCTCATAAATGTACCCCAAAGGAATTTAAAGGCAATATATTCAGATAGAGCAATATGTTAAATATGGTATTAAATCATACAGCTAGGAATATTTCTCAAATTGAGTGTATTTTCTTGTATTGTTATATAATAAAAGTTGTATCAATTGAACTAACTTTGGTTTTCATCTCCGTGTTAGCACCAGCACAAAGAAGCAGTTGCACAACTTCTATGTGACCTGGAGTCTGACCTCCTTGATAGCCATGGATCTCGGTTGATCCAGTCGTGTGAGAAGAAACGCCTTCTTTAGCTGCGATATGCAAAGGGGTATATGTGTCTTTAGCGACTGCATGCACACTAGCACCGGCCTCGATTAAAGAGGCGACGAGTTCTGGATTGCCAGATCGACAAGCAACGTGCAAAGCAGTTTGACTACCCTAATTAGTGATTTAAATAGAATAAAGGGTTTTTTAATTTATACATAATAGAATGTAAAATTAAGTAGAAGCCAAGGTTAGATATCATGTCTCACAAAGAGCCCTTGGTGAGATGGCAGAAAACTAATGGTTTAAATAGTTTTCAAATTAAATAGAATGGAAGAAAAAGTCGCATCGAAAAATGTAGGCAATATTATAACATAAAAATCAAAAAATTATGAGTCTGAGGCGATAGACCATTAATAGACTAGCACAATTTGCTCAAGATAACTTAGAACTAGGGACATTAAAGTATCTGGCGAGTTTGAACTTTCCTGGGTCGATTTAGTTCAAATAAAAATGCATAAACCGAAGATATTAAAACCAAAATGGTGTGGCCTCTTGTGTGGTAGCAGTCTCCTTTCGTTGTAAAGAAGTGACTTAACCTTGTTTTCGCAACTTGGTCATATTGGTAGGTATTTTTGGAAAAACGCACCTAGTCCGGAGTCCATTGTATGCATGATAACGTACAAAGTCTGATTGTGGACGTGGTATATTCCCAGACGTTTTGCCGGCATCGTCAGTGAGTCTTGCCATTCTTAGCAGTACACTACAACTTGTCAAAGAGACAAGTAAAGCCGATCCTTTGACCAAATATATGATAAACAGTTGTGGTATCTCTCTTGCCATTGGCCATTCACCTTTCCTATATCCTCGTATCACGCCTTCACTATGACACTTTTTTCCTTGCTTATTTAAATCTAGTGTGATGTGCCCGTTTGAGCGGCTTTCATGAGAACACTCCACGCCTAACTTCACTTCTCTTTTTGACGAGTTGTAGTTTACTGCTAAGAATGGCAAGACTCACTGACGATGCCAACTACGATGCCGGCGAAACGTCTGGGGATGTAGCACGTCCACGGTCAGACTTTGGAAATTATCATGCATATAATGGACTCCGGACTAGGTGCGTTCCTCTATGTCTTCCTACCAATATGACAAAGTTGCGAAAACAAAGTTAAACAACTTCTAAAAAATGCATAAAATGAAACCATAGGCCAGAATAAAAAAAGTTGTTAAAGTAAAATATACTCAAAGCAATACAGGTATACAATGAGTAAAATAATAAATCCTCTTCATTCTATTTTTACCCTAAATGATGATGATAAAAAAAACAAAAAAATATGGTAATACAGAATGATCTACAGAAAATATCGAACTACAAATGAACATGTTGACGGGAATAAATAATTAATGATAACAGTGAGAAATGGTGAAAATAGGAAATGAGAGAAAAGATTAGTCTACTCGAATGTCAGAATATATAATAAAAAAATGAGTACACGAAGGATTAAAAAGAGTATTATTTTCGAAGAAAAATTGAGATTTTTTGATTAAATTTCTAACGAATGTGGATGAAGATCAAAGCCATTGATAAAAGGAGCTAGAGAGAAAAATGGCCCAAAATGTATAGAGTAGGAATGTCATAATCGTAGATCAGATTTTGTCGATGAAGTGAAATACATTCACCATCTGTGCTATATACAGATAATGAATAGAAATCCACAAATGTGCAGAGTATGGGCGAAATGTTTGAAATATATCTGGAAAAATAAGCGAGACTTTAAGTAGCTAGGATTCATTATCATCCTAACCGCAAAGATAACTCGGAGTCTTATAACAGCTATAAACTTAAGTATGTATCGACGCAGCCATATTGCAAGGAAGACCTAAAGGAACGTATCTTTTCAAGGATCCATAGTTCCCATGATAATTTCTAATCGGAGCGTGGAATGGGTACATTTTTACACGTTTGGCCGGCATCATAGTCGGCATCGCTAGTGAGACTTTCCACTCAAAGCACCACATCCAATATAAAAAAATTGAAGTCGATCACTTGAAAAATTGTCTGCCAAACGGTTGGGCTATCTTTTCTTCTGTCCCGATGTATTCAACTACCCTATTTACTCATAGGACCTCTTCATAATATAAATTTCTTACTTGCTTATCCAAACCCAGTTGAGATGTGCCCTTTCGAGAAGATTTGGTGAGACCTACTTACACTCCCCGCTAGTTGCTTCATCCCCACATTATGCTAAAGTGGGCCTATTCAAATCATATTTGGGGGTCGGCACACAAGAGACTATGGCATAGGAAGTCATGGACTTTATATAATGGATAGAATGACCATATATAGTTGGCTATAGTATACGTGATATCAAAGGCTTAAGGCAGAGTGTATAACATAAGTTTCGTATATAAGTAGAGTTTCAAGACTACCACATCTCATATCGTAGATGTGGTGGCAGTGACCGAATGAAACCATTGAACCAGGGAGATAAGACGTGGATCCTACAGAGCAAGAGGGAGACTCTTTTAGGACATGGAGGAAGAGGATTGCTGAATAAATTGCAGTCTTGTATTAGCATTCCTAGAACTGTGGTGACGACTGGCAAGGCTCATTGGCGATGATTACTATGGTCTCCACACAAGGTGCGTTCCTCCAGGTCCTGATATTATGGCCAAGTTGCATAAACAAGATCGAACAACTTCTCTAAAACGAAAGAGATAACGACCATACTAAAGGCCAAACCGTATTGATCTTCATACTTTAGATTAAATATACATGATTCGTTGTGCAAATAATTGAAATTAAAGCGTAAGGAAGAATAAACTTTTATTAGACAAGGTTGGCTTATTCTTATG